ACAGCCTGGACAGTATCTTGCAAGAAATCATCAAGGAATAATAGAAGCAAACTGGGAGAGCAAGGAATAGTTTACCAGTCAGATTTATGGAGAATAGAAGAATTCATGACCAAACAGGAGAATAGAGAACATTACAAAATGCAAAATGGATAATTTTGATTACATTAAATTGAAAAGTTTTTGCACAAACAAAGCCAACACAACCAAGATTAGAAGGAAAGTAGAAAATTGGGGGAAAATAATTTTACAACCAGTGTCTCTGATAAGGGCCTCATTTCTCAAATATATAGAGAATTAAGTCAGATCTATAAGAATGTAAGTCATTCCTCAATTGATAAATGGTCAAAGGATATGAGCAGGCAGTTTTCAGATGAAGAAATTAAAGCCATCTATAGTCATATGAACAAATGCTCTAAATCACTACTGATTAGAGAAATGCAAATCAAAACAACTCTGAGGTACCACATCACACCTATCAGATTGGCCAACATGACGAAACAGGAAAATGATAAATGTTGGAGAAGACGTGGGAAAATTGGAACACTAATGCATTGTTGGTGGAGTTGTGAAATGATCCAACCATTTTGGAGAGCAATTTGGACTATGCCCAAAGGGCTATAAAAATGAGTGTACCCTTTGACCCAGTGATACCACTTCTAGGGCTGTATCCCTAAGAGATCAAACAAATGGGAAAAGGACCCACACGAACAAAAATATTTATAGCAGCTCTCTTTGTGGTGGCAAAAAATTGAGAGAATGCCCATCAATTGGGGAATGGCTGAACAAGTTGTGGTATATGAATGTCCTGGAAATACTATTGTGCTATAAGAAATTATAAGCAGGGTGACTTCAGAAAAACTTGGAAAGACTTGCATGGACTGATGATAAGTAAAGTGAACAGAACCAGGAGAACGTTGTACACAGTAACAGCCATGTTGTGTGATGACTAACTTTAATAGACTTAGCCCTTCTCAGCAATGCAAGGATCTAAGACATCTCCAAATGTCCCATGATGGAAAATGCTATCCACATCCAAAGAAAGAACTATGGAGTTTGAATGCAGATCAAAGCATACTATTTGCTTTTTGTTTCTTCTGTTTTGTTTTGTTTCTCTTTCCTGTGGTTCCTCCTATTGGTTCTAATTCTTCCTTACAACATCACTAATGTGAAAATATGTTTAATAGGAATGTATATGTATAGCCTATATCAGATTATGCACCACCTCGGGGAGGGTGAGAAAAAATTTAAAACTCAAAAGCTTATGGAAGTGATTGTTGATAAATCAAAATAAATTAATTAAAAAAAATTATCAGGGAAAACTGTCTTGATATCCTACAACCAAAGGGTAAAATAGTCATCACCACCTGAAAGAGATCCCAAAATGAAAACCCCAAATTCCAGCATTATCAGATCAAGGAGAAAATACTGCAAGCAGCCAGAAAGCAACAATTTAAATATCAAGGTGCCCTAGTCAGGATTACACAGAACTTAGCAACTTCAAAATTAAAGGATCAGAGGGCTTGGTATATGATATTACAGAAGGCAAAGGAGCTTGGATTACAACCAAGAAACTGCCCAGCAAAATTGAGCATAATCTTTCAGGGGAAAGATGGATATTCAATGAAATAGTGGATTTTTAAACCTTCCTAATGAAAAGATCAGAGCTGAATAGAAAATTAGATCTTAAAAATACAAGACTCAAGAGAAACATAAAAAGGTAAATGGGAAAAAATGTTATTCAGTAAGGTTAAACTATTTACATTCCTACATGGGAAGATAATATTTGTAGTTCTTTAGAACTATATCTCTGTTAGGGCAGTTAGAAGGAGTATACATAGACAGAGTGTGAGTATAAGTTGACTTTGATGATATTTTTAAAAGGGATAAAAAAAGGATTGTACTGGCAGAAGAGGAAAGTGGGTGGTGGGGGGCAGAATAGGGTAAATTATATCACATGAAGAGGCACAAAAGACCTGTTACAGTAGAGAGAAAAAAAGGAAGGGGTGAGCATTGTTTGAATCTTACTCTCATAAAATTTGGCTCAAAGAGGGAATAACATACAGACTCAGTTGGGTATAGAAATTTATCTTATCCTATAAGGAAGTAGGAGAGGAAAGACAGCAGGGGGGGAAGGCTGATAGAAGGGAGGGCTGAAGTAAGAGGGGAAAGGGGAAAGAAAAGGGAGGGAACATTGAGGGAAGTAGTGGTCTGAAGCAAAACACTGGTGAAGGACAGAGTGAGAGAGAAAAAAGTATATAGGGGGAAAACAGGATGGAGAGAAAGACATAATTCGTAATCATAACTGTGAATGTGAATGGGATGAACTCTCCCATAAAACACAAGTGGATAGCAGAGTGGATTAAAAACCCGAATCCTTAACTGTGTGACTCTGGGCAAGTCACTTAACCCCAACTGCCTCACCAAAAAACAACAACAAAAAAAAAAAACCAGGATCCTACAAATAAGTTTACAAGAAACACATCTAAAGCAGAGAGATACACACAGAATAAAGGTAAAAGGCTGGAACAGAATATACTATGCTTCAGTGATGTAAAAAAAGTAGGAGTAGCGATTCTGATCTCAGACAAAGCAAAAGCAAAAATACATCTAATTGAAAGAAATGAGAGGAAACTACATCCTGCTAAAAGGTACCATAGACAGTGAAGTGATATCAATACTAAACATATATACACCAAGTGGTATAGCATCCAAATTCTTAGAGAAGTTAAGTGAGTTATAGGAAAATGGACAGCAGAACTATTTAAGTGGGGGACCTCAACCTTTCCTTCTCAGAAATAGACAAATCTAACTATAAAAGAAGTTAAGGAAGTGAACAGAATTTTGGAAAAGTTAGGTAAAATAGACCTCTAGAGGAAACTGAAGGGGATAGAAAGGAATATACCTTTTCTCGGTGGTACATGGCACCTACACAAAAATTGACCACACATCAGGGCATAAAAACATCATGATCAAATGCAGAAAGGCAGAAACATTAAATGCATCCTTTTTAGATCATGAGGTAATAAAAATTACATGTAATAAAGGGCTATGGAAAGACAGATTAAAAATTAATTGGAAACTAAGTAATCAAATCTTAAAGAATAAGTGGGTCAAACAAATCATAGAAACAATAATTTCATCAAAGAAAACAACAACAATGAGATAACACACCCAATTTTGGGGATGCAGCCAAAGTAGTTCTTAGGGAAAATTTTATATCTTTAAATCCTTACATGAATAAAATAGAGAAAGAAGAGATCAATGAATTGAGCATGCAACTAAAAAAGCTAGGGAAAGAACAAATTAAAAATCCCCAATTAAATGCAAACTAGAAATTCTGAAAATCAAAGGAGAGATTAATAAAACTAAAAGTAAGACAACTACTGAACTAATAAATAAAATTAAGAGCTGGTTTTATGGAAAAAAAAACAATAAATTTGGTTAATTTGATTTAAAAAACCATATTATCAGTATCAAAAATTAAATGGGTGAATTCACCACCAATGAAGAGGAAATTAAAGCAATAATTAGGAACTATTTTGCCCAGCTGTATGCCAATAAATCTGACAATCTAAGTGAAATGGATGAATATTTACAAAAAACATAAACTGCCCAGATTAACAGAAGAGGAAACAAAATACTTAACTCCATTTTAGAAAAAGTAATTGAACATGCCATCAGTGAACTCCCTAAGAAAAAATCTCCAGGACCAGAAGGATTTACAAGTGAATTCTACCAAACATTTAAAGAACAATTAATTCTAATACTATATAAACTATATGGGAAAAATAAGCAAAGAAAGAGTCCTACCAAATTCCTTTTATGACACAAATATGGTGCTTATACCTAAACCAGGAAGAGCCAAAACACAAAGAAAATTATAGACCAATTTCCCTAATGAATATTGATGCAAAAATGTTAAATAAAATATTAACAAAGAGATTACAGCAATCCACCACCAGGATAATACACTATGACTAGGTGGGACTTATACCAGGAATGCAGGGCTGGTTCAATATTAGGAAAACTTATCACCATAATTGACCATATCAATAAAAAAAAACCTACCAACTCATATGATTATCTCAAAAGATGCAGAAAAAGTTTTTTACAAAATACAGCACCCATTCCTATTAAAAATAATAGAGAGCACAGAAATAAATGGAGTTTTCCTTAAAATTTTAAGTAGTATGTATCTAAAATCAATAGCAAGTATATGTAATGGGGATAAGCTAGAAGCTTTCCCAATAAGATCCGGAGTAAAACAAGGATGGCCATCATCACCACTATTACTGAATATTACAATAGAAATGTTAGCTTTAGCAATAACAGAAGAAAAAGAATTGAAGGAATTAAAATCAGCAATAAGAAAACAAAACTATCACTCTTTGCAGATGATATGATGGTATACTTAAAGAATCCTAGAGAATCAACTTAAAAACTACCTGAAATAATCAACAACTTAATAAAGTTGCAGGATTATAAAATAAATCCACATAAATCATCAGCATTTCTATATATTACCAACAAAGTCAAACAGTAAGAGATAAGAGAAATCCCGTCTACAATAACTCTAGACAATATAAAATATATGGGAGTCTACCTGCCAAAGCAAACCCAGAAACTATATGAACACAATTGCAAATACTTTTTTTTTTACTTTTTGGTGAGGCAATCGGGGTTAAGTGACTTGCCTAGGGTCACACAGCTAGTAAGTGTTAAGTGTCTAAAGCTGGATTTGAACTCAGGTCCTCCTGACTCCAAGGCCAGAGCTCTATTTGCTGCACCACCGAGCTGCCCCAGCAAAACACTTTTCACACAAATAAAGTCAGATCTAAATAACTAGAAAAATATCAATTGCTCATGGGTAGGCCAAGCTAATATAACAAAAATGAAAATTCTACCCAAATTAATTTACTTATTCAGTGCCATACCAATCAAAACTACCAAAAAATGATTTGATAGAGTCAGAAAAAATAAGAACAAAATTACACAGGAACTCTACATACAAATAATACAGCCTTTATTTCATCCCACAAAAAAAAGGCCAAAGTCTATTCGCCAGAGTCCCTACACAGTTTCCCCAGACTTGTCAGACCACTTTGTGGTTCAGACTCCCACCAGAAAGTTTTGTTTTGAAACTTACTGAACTAAAACAGCCCCTTCTGGACCTGCACTGTCCAAGAAACTCACTGGCTTTGTTTTCCAAGCAGGATCTTGCTCAGGAACTGTGTGGACTATCTTTCTCCTTCTGCAAAGTGTAGGATGCATCAGGAAATCTTTCCTCTCTAGAAGGTGCCAATGCCCAAACTCAACACAGGAACTCCTGAACTTGGAATTACCCATGAGGCAACTCTCAAAGCTGAAGCAGCCCAAGAAATCTCCTTTCTCTGCTATAAGGGTTAAATTCTAAGATTGTGACTCCTGGAAAATTCAAATTCTGCCCCCACTCCCCCAAATGCAAGAGGTTGGGCTTAAGGAATAGTCCTTTTCCTCCTCTCTTTTGAGGACACTTTTGAGCTCCTCCTTTCTGCCATCTATTTTCACTGCAAGTCACCACTGCTGCTTCTCACTGAGTTAGACAGAGGGACTGAGAGGAGAGGAGTGATATCCTCTCTAGCTACAACTTGCTTTAGTAAAAGTACTATTTCTCTTCCGGGGGATATTAGGTCACCCTCAGTTATTCCTACCTCAGCTTAGATTTTGTGGCTTACACAAGTTTCTATCTTGAGATTCATAATCAGGCCCAACCTAAATTTGCCACATCAGACTTAACAGCAAGGCACTGTAGAGTAGTGTAAGGAACCCTAGGGCTGAGTTGGCAGACACTGATTCTAGCCCCAAATCTTCCACTCGCTAGCTGTGTCTAAAGTCTGTTCCTGGTCCAACAATTAACAAACACTTATTAAATCCCAGGCACCATGCACTAGGGATAAAGATGCAGAAGTGAGACAGTCTCTGTCCTCAAGGAGTTTATACCTTAACAGAATGAGTTTTCAAAGAAGTAGATACAGAATATATACAAAATAAAATGTTTGATGTGGGCATGAGAAGTAATAACTGGAGGAATCCAGAAAGGCTTCTTGAAAAAGGTTACAACTGAACACAGCCCTGCAGAGAGCTAGGAGTTACAAAAGGTAGAAGTAGGGAGGGAGATTCTGTCTCAGTTTCCTACAAATCTTCAAGAATGCTAACAAGAAGCTACCACTTAGAGCATTCCCTAACCCCAATATGTTATTCATCTACCTTATATGTTAGAAAACTAAGGGGAAGATAATAATAAAAGCTAACATTTACATTTGCAAAGCACTTTATGTATTTTATCCCATTTGAGTCTAACAACAATCCTGAGGTAGGTGCTGTTATTATCCCCATTTTACAAATAAGGAAACTGAGCCACAGAAAGGTTAAGTCACTTGCCCAGAATCACACAACTGATAAAAGTCTGAGGCTAACTCCAAATCCAGCACTGTGCCAAGCTGCCTGGGGTGGGAGCAGAACTGAAGAAGAACAAAACCCCACCAGACTTTTAGATAAAAAGCAGGGACAATGCAACAAAGGTTTAAGAAATGGTAAAATGATACAGTGAATCTTTAATGTTGATATGTAAGACATGTGCAGCAAAATAATGTGTCACAAATGTTTAGAAAAACCAACTTGTCCTGCTTCTTTGGCAGAGAAGAAAATGGAAGCAATATAGTACTAAATTAGGTTATGAACACAATTTAAATTATTTTAAGAGTTTGTTGGGGTTTTTTTTTATCAAAAACTCTCTCTGGCAGTTTGACAGGTGCGATCCTTCTCCATGAAGACAAGAATGCTTTTTTAGCATTTAGTATAATTCTTTTCCTACCCTTCTTAAATACCATATGTTCTCTCATCCTCAGTTTCCAAAAGGTAGCATTTTTTTAGGGTGTCACTGGATAATAGCTGTTCCACCAGCTTTTTCATGCATTGTGCCCATGAAATGTCGCTGACCATCCAAATATAACATGGAATCTGAAACGAAAGATTGCTACTTGAGAAACTTACCACATCTCAGAAAATCAGGACATGAGTAGATAATGGAAAACAAGTGAACCAATGACAGTGATATGCCACCAAAATTTTCTAAGAGGCTTCTCTGACAATCATTTGCTAGATGGAAGAATCACCTGGATTATACCTATCTCCAATTTGTCACCCAACTCATAAGTATGAAATGAAGGGGAAATAATAATAATAGCTAATAATATAAATATGTTCTCTTCCCCTGATCAAATATAAGCTCCTTGATCATTTGCTATATGGAAGGTTAGGAGACTTTAAAGAGTGGTATAAGAAGATTCCCACTCTTTTGCTCACAGGCTAGAGGTGTTGACTGTGGAACAGGCTCTGGTTGCTACCACCAATCAACTAATAGTAGGAATGAGTGTCTCCTATGGGTCCTCATAGACTGCAGAAGCTATTCACAAGCAACAGGCAATATACTTCCCCTCTTTCTTTGCAGAACTAGGAGACTATATACCAAAAAATGAAAAACGACATATACCACCAGACCTGCGTTCATGTGTTTCATGTGTTAATTTTAGAAACTACTTTTATTTTACTTCTGTGTTAGAAAAGATGACTTACACTGGAAAGTAGGGAGGGAAAGGAAAATGAAGACAATATGAAAACAAAGGTGAAAAACAATAGCAGGAAAGGGCATATGCTAATGCAACTGCTCACATGTCTTTTTTGACAGGGGCTCTCAAGCCCAAACTGGGAGCTGAGAAGTAGGGATCCTAAGAATTTACTATACAAAATACTGTGTCCAGGAATCAGAACAGAGAGAGCTATGTGAGTGAGAGTTTGTGTGTGTGTGTGTGTGTGTGTGTGTGTGTGTGTGTATTTAAATATAACAAGTAAAAAGGACACAAAATTCCAACAATGTTTTCCCCTTCCTTAAAAATATCCATCATTGTTGCTTACCTCCATAAGTTTTGGGAATCACTGCTGGCACTTCTTTTTCAACCAAAAATGTGAAATGGAAGACATTGGTAGTCTTGTGCTCTTTAGTGCCAGGGACACTTACTTCACTGTGTACTCTAACTTGAATGTGATTCTTTTCAGTAAAACAAACCTGAGAATATTTTTAAAAAGAAAGAGGAATTTAGTCAACCACATTACTAAGAATTAGAAAAAAAGACAATTATAAGAGAAAAAATAACTCTAAGATATAGAAACATATCTTCTCTTTCTTTACTGCCAAAATAAACAAAGAAAACATTATTTAATTTCTCATTTCACACTTACCTGGGAAGCAAAGAATAGCAGTGATCCAATTTCAACAGGCCTCTGAAACATGATATCATCTACAGCAACCAGAAAAGGTCTGGAACCACTATTGATGGAAGAGAGAATTGTGTTTCAAGGGTCTACACAGAGTAAAGAGTATTTCTATTTCTCTTTTGTACTGGGACCACCACAGTCTTGATTGTGATGACCTTTCCAGGACTATTATTTCAGGAAATCCCCAGTAAATGCTTCACTTCATTCCTTAATGCCAAGTCATCTTGATAGTCTCACCAAATAACTTGCATTCTAAAGTGTACCCCTTCCAACTCAGCCTCCCCTACTCTCCAATTCTGAAATCATGATCAAAATCAACTCTTCCATTATTCTACTCCCATAAGGCCCCACTCACCATTCCCATAGCTTTTAGGAGCAAAGTACCTCGCCTCAAGCCACAACTTTCCTACGTATGTTGGTTTCCCTATTAGAATGTAAGCTCTTCCAAGGCAAGGACTGTCTTTGCTTTTGTATTTGTATTTCCAGACCTTAGCACAGTGCCTAGTACATAGAAAGCATTTAATAAATGCTTTTTTGTTCATTCTTTCTTTCTTATACCAACTAGACAAAATAGGAAACAAAAATCAATTTTAAAAAAAGAAAGAAATTATTATCATGTTGGAAAGACAAGAGGAGCCACTCTGACACCAGACCCAAGTCAAAAAGCACCCTTCTCTCAGCAGGTGTAAAATTTGAGGATTAAGAGAGATACTTTTCTTAAATGAAAATTCAATTCAAGCATGTAAACTAGTAACCTCTCATTATTTTTAGGAAAAGCACATCTAGACCTCATCAAAATATTTAGAATTACTATCAATGTATACATCACAACTTACGCAAAGTGACAAGCAGTAGCCCAACCAAGTTCAAATGCTTTTCTCATAAGGAAACCTCCAAAGATTCTATTGAAAATGTTCCGTTCCTATGTTTAAAATACACAAAATTATATGTAACACATAAAGAAAGAACTATACTAAGGAAACAGAAGAAATCAAGCCTTAAGAAGGATTCTCATGTGAATAACTCACCAGCAGGCATTCTATTTCTTTACTGTTCTTCTTCCTCTCTAACATACAAGCACAGACCAAAACAATTACAATACCTCAGGCTGGCATATGTGCAGGCTCTTCAATTTTGTATCTTCCATCCACACTGAATCTGGAGGTAAAACTCGACTTTGAAAACTTATAGTCCTGTGCAAATTAAGATTTGTTCAATTATTTTATTATAAGAATTTTATTAAGACACAAACATCATTAAGCTACTTATGGCACAATCAAGGAATAAGAAAATTGCCTTATTTTTCCAAATACAGGTTGCATAGGTTTATTTATTTATTTTTTACAAATTCTGCCTCGTGCAAAACCTATCTGTGGTATATAAAACATAAAGCTAAGTGTTATTTTTTGACCTATGCCCTGGCAGGTTTTTTTTTTCCTTTCAGAGAACTCACTTTAAGGAAGCATCCTTAGATCAATACAATAAATCATTTAGTTCTAAGGTTGACAAATGTGAAAACAGAACAAAAAAAAGAGGCTACCAATATCTTCCACTTCACATTTTTGGTTGAAAAAGAAGCGCCATCAGTGATTCCCAAAACTTACGGAGGTAAGCAACAATGGTGAATGTTTTTAAGGAAGGGGAAAACATTGTCAGAATTTTGTGTCCTTGTTACATTTAAACACACACACTCATTCACTCACTCATATAGTTATATATCCCAAAAGAGATTTAAAAAAAAGGACCTATAAAAAAGTATTTTCAGCAGCCCTTTTCTGGAGTAAAGGGTTGGAAATTAAGAGGATGTTCATCAGTTGGGGAATGGCTGAACAAGTTGTACCATGTGATTATGATGGAATAATATTGTACCATAAGAAACGATGAGCAGGATGCTCTGAGAAAATCCTGAAAAGACTTGCATGGGCTGATGCAAAGTGAAATGTACTGTGTGCAAAGTAACAGCAATATTATGTGATGATCAGATATGAATGACTTAGCTATTCTCAGCAATAAAATGATCCAAGACAACTCCAAAGGACTTATGATGAAAAATGCTACCCATCCCCAGAGAAAGAACTGATGGTGTCTGAATACAGACTGAAGCATACTTTTTTTTACTTCACTTTTCTTGAGGAGTTTTGTTTTGTTTTTAGTCTATGTTTTCTTTCACAACATGACTATTCTGAATGTGTTTTGCATGACAACACATGTATAACCTATATTGAAATGCTTGCCTTATCAAGGCCTAGGGCGGGGAGGAAGGCAGAGAATTTGGAACTCAAGGTTTTAAAAACAAATGTTAGAAGCTATTTTTACATGTAAGGGGAAAGCAAAATACTAAATAAAAAAATAAATAAAAATAAAATGAAATATGTATGCCAATTTGAAATACATTCAACTTAGCTCATCAAAAAGTTCATATTCAACAGATACTCTCCCTCTCTTCAAGTTGTCTGCCCCAACTTGCCTTGGGTCCAGCGTACTAAGGAACATGTTATGAACTGCAAGCCTTTCTTCTGCAGTGGGAGCCATCTTCAATAAGGATGCAGTGGTGGAGGCAATCCTCTTCCCCTTATTCACTAGAAAAGGGAAATTCAAAAAGCTCATAATGCACCACAATTAGAGTAACAAGCAGTATCTAAGAAATCTATACTATACTCTTTCAATCACTTGCAACTAATATAATCTTGTCTCTCTAAATGTCTACATCCTTACAGCATTATGTAGTGTCGAGAGTAATAACTGGATCCAAATGAAATACAGGTTCAGCAGCACTGATATTTTTGTTATATTCTAGACTGGTAGTTTAAGGAAGCATAGAGGATAGACTTTATTTTAAAAGTTGAATTATCCTTTTTTGTTTTTTTTAAGGAGGCAATCAGGGTTAAGTGACTTGCCCAGGATCACACAGCTAGTAAATGTCTGAGGCCAGATTTGAACTCAGGTTCTCCTGACTCTAGGACCAGTGCTCTATCCACTTTGCCACCTAGCTGCCCTTGATTTATTAATTCTTTATAGTAAAATAAACTGAATTATTTTCTCCCTGCCAAAGAATACTTTCACATGAAGTACAGGAATGCTTCATTCAGTCAAAAGCATTATGTGGGCAATTTCATGCAAAAGGGGCCCAGTTCAAATACCACCTCTTCTAAGTAGCCTTCTCAGCTTCTCCCAGCCAGAAATGAACTCTCTTACCTCCAACAGCCCAAAGCTCTTAGTACCTCTCATAGGTTGCCATATTCTGTTTTGTGTTGTTTGTATCATTGTTGTTCTTTCCCTATCTCCCAACCTCTACCCCACTCCATGATCCCCACCCCATCCCTCTCCCACCCACTAGCCTTGGTCTCCTAGAAGGCAGGGGTTGTGTGTTGTACTCATATTTTGCTGCCTTTCATGCCTTACATCTCAAAAGTCATTCAATAAGTTTGATGAATTTATTAGAACACATTAAGTAGTCCTTGGGGGGAAAGATTTTGGTTTAGTTTACGAATCAGTAAAAATGTATTAGCATTTGAATTTGGGATTCAGCAAATTAATACTGTTCATTCTGGTTTGGTTTACAGTTTACAATCCAATCCAAGTCCCTGGTCAAAATGGGTGAGGCTTCTGGAGGCTTCTAAAAAGCAAACCTGAAAAATTAGCAATATCCCATATGAAGGGAACATTTGATTAGCACATATTTCCTGTAATAATCTTAAAACCTCCCCAGGATTCAATTTAGTATGTTTTCTTAGGCTATTATATACAAATTGGCATACATTCTCCTTGCTTGAAGAGTTCCTCTTCCTCTGGACTTTCAAGGACTAGCGGATTTATAAAAGCTGGCCTGAGGAGGAGAGAAAAAAAATACACTCATATTTATACATATACATACAGATATACATATATAATAAATATATGTGCGTATATGTCTGCATATCAAAATATGGTATTATTTAGTGAAAGCTGAGATCATATAATTGTCCTTTCAGTTTTCCAAGTCTTCTATCTTTTTCTCTGTGTGGCTGACAGAATGGAACAAACTTTTGAAGGTCTTATGATACAGGTGTTAGTTGTATCTTGAGGTGTGCTTATTCATATTAAAAAAAAGATTCTTTGGGGGCAGCGAGGTGGTGCAGTTGATAGAGCACCAGCCCTGGAGTCAGGAGGATCTGAGTTCAAATCCAGCCTCAGACACATAACACTCACTAGCTGTGTGACTGTGGGCAAGTCACTTACCCCCAACTGCCTCACCAAAAAAAAAAAAGATTCTTCATTTTGTCAAAGGCACAAGCACTTAGACAATAAAAAGCTAAAAGGTGTAAAAATGAAACTAAGGTAAGTTCTCTCCCTGAAGCAATCAAGGGCATTTTGAGTATTTACATACACATTTATTTTTAAGCATTTATACACATTTATTATAGATTTAGTTAATTATATAAGCAATATTATATATTTTGACAATCTTACCAAAAAATCCGAATATCAACACCAAATAACAAGCAATTTGATGACTGTGATTTCAACAGTATGAAGAGCTGCTCTGCCACAGAATTCACTGATTCAGATTTTCAACTTGCTCTTTCTTGTAGTTTTAAAGAACTGCCAAAGTCATATGACTTCCTTACGACCCCAAAAATAGTCAGAGGCAGAATCTGAATCTAGATCTCCCTTCTGCTAAAATGGAAATGGGGACTGAGGAAAAGGCAAGTCTGGTCTGGAAGGGGTCATTTGGAAGTAATCAAATATGGACAGGGACAGGGACTAAACTTGGGATCTCACTAGTACAATGCACTCCCAGGTGAAAAAACCCCTTCTACCACTTTTCTGCTATTTATACACTGAGAAAGTTGCCTAAAGTACTAAGAGATTAGAAGTGACTTGTCCATTTACTACACAGGTCAGGGTCAGGGTTTGGCCCCATGTCTCCATGTCTCTGAAACACTTGCTGTCCACGAGGCCCACACTTCTCAAAGTGTGGTCCTCACTGAGGATCACTGAGACCTTTTCAGAGGGTCCTCATGGTCAAAACCATTTTCATAATAGTACTAAATTATCATTTTCTTATTAAAATACCCTTGCCTTTTCCAATTACATAGGTGTGTAGCCAAATTTTCTTCATATACTTCAACAAAAAACAACATATCACAATAGATTGGATAGAGAAGCATATAGGAGAATCAAGCTGTCTTCTAGTAAGCCAAGCATTAAAGTAATTGCAAAAATATGTAAAGCAATGCCACTCTTCTCACTAATTTTTGTTTTGGAAAATAAAAGTTATTTTTCATAAAACTGTCATTTATATTAATATTTAATAAGCTTATTTGTTATGAATTAATATTTAATTACTTCTCATCTTTAATTTCTAATATGGCAAATGCCAATGTGGATATATGTGTGTATATATGTATATACACATATACATATATATACATAATATACATATATACACATACACATAAACAATAAGCTCTTTAGGGTCCTCAGAGGCAGCTAAGTGGCGCATTGGATAGACCACTGGGCCTAGAGTCAGGAAGACCCGAGTTCAAATCTGGCCTCAGACACTTACTAGCTGTGTGATCCTGAGCAAGTCACTTCACTGTGTCTGTCTCAGTTTCTTCATCTATAAAATGGGCTAGAAAAGGAAATGGCAAACCACTTCAGTATCTTTGCCAAGAAAACCCCAAATGGGATCATGAAGACTCAGACATGACTGAAAAACAACTTTGGGGTCTTTAACCATTTTCGAGTCTTGTAAAGGAGACCTGAGACCAAAAAGTCTGAGAATTGCTACACTAGACCACACTGCCTTTCAACCAAATATGACATGCTTTAAAAGTCTGGTATAGGTAGCACACATCTTTGAAAATATATGGATTAATTATCCTAGACTATGTATGTTAGTTGGATAAAGTAAGGGTTCTGCTTTAACTTAGTCACATGGTATTTGGTATCTATTTGTCTATTCAACAGTAATTTTTTTAAAGAATTTAACTGATTTTGTTCAAAGCTAGTACACAACTAAAGGATGTCAAGATAGAACTCAAATTTGATTTGTGGTTCACTCTACTGCTGTGAACAAAATACTGGTAACAAATATTCTCAAATGTGAATTTGAGAACAGCCAAAATATGTCTAAAGTGAATTTAAGGAGGAAGGAGCAGGAAGAGTGTATAAGTAAGGAGATTATAGAATCTAACTTTTTCTTAACCAACTAAATTAACTTAGTCAATTCCACTAGAAATAATTAAGTCAATTAACTTGGAAATACAATTTAGAATTTGGAATAAAAATAGAAAACACTGGGGACATATTGCACAGTTCCAGAGTTCTAAATCAATAATTACCCTTTGTTTTCAGGATCACGAGCCACCATTACAAATGTTGCATTCAACACAGGATGGTAAACTGTATCATATAACTAAAATAAAAAAGGACAGAGTTCAGGTAGAACAGATATTGACTATAAATAACACCACAATTCTAAACAAGTACTATGGCATTAAGAAATAATCATGTGAAAATAACTCTGAACATCTACGTCACCCTTATTTACTCATCTGACTCTGACGTGCTGGCAGACAACAGGAGATAATGGATAGAGAGCCCTAGAGTCAGAAAGACCTGAATTCCAGTACTGCCTCTGGCACATACTGGCTAAGAGACCCTAGCAAGTCCTTTAACCTTTCAGTGCACCAGGCAACTCTCTGAAATTATAAATTACATACCAGGTATTAAAATTCATCAGTGGGCAGAGTTTCCTCACGGGAAATTCTCTATACCAGCAAAATCACAGGTTCCATCCAAAAAAAAAAAAACAATAACACAAAAATAAACTCTCACATACAATGCTCCAAATTTTTTCGCAAAGGTTAAATTAATCTTACCAATAAACTCCCACAGGCCCATGGCCAGATAAACCTTATGAAGTTGAGTCTTTTACTGTCTTTATTGAGACTTATCTAAAAAGTTGGTGACAATGAAAAATGGAAAAGATAAAAAGTAAATACTGACATAGACTATCACCAGCTAGGTAGTACAATGGATAAAATGCTGGACTTGGAGTCAAGAAAATCCAAATTCAAAATCTGCCTCAGATATTTATTAGCTACATGACCCTAGACAACTCACTTAGCCTTTCTAGGCCTAAATTTCTTCATGTATAAAATAAGAGATTTGGACCCAATGGCTTCAGAAATCCCTTCCAACTCTAAATCTATGATCTTATGCTCCTTTACCAGCTCCTAAGAAAGTTTAATTTATGTAAATCAATTGTATTTAAAAAGATAAACATATTCACAGTGCTTTGTAAACCAAAAGGCACTACATAAAAACTGCTAAATTGCCAAAATGAAGAAACTAAAAAAGCCTAAGAATCCACATCAGTCACCAAATGCTTGCACACTTTACCATGTAGAGAGATACAGCAGACCACAGCAACACCAATTTTAAAAAGAACATAATTATTTTAAATCTTAAAAGGAAGATAGTGGGCAATAATGTGCATGTGATACAGCCTAAAAAACAAGTCTGCCTGAGCCGGGCTTCAAACATCTACACTCTTACTCCAAGTTCAATACTCTTTCCACTCTATCATACTGGTATTCACATTTAGGGTCAAATGAAGTTGGAGAGGTAAGACTGGTGGCTATGTCAGGATTAAATGAGGTAACATATTTAAAGCCTTTTATCAACCTTAACATACCATATATACGTCAACTGTAATTATTACTGTACACGTGGCTATTTCTATTTATTCTTAGTACATTTCGGTTTTGTGTAATTCTTCAAGCAAAACTAGAAAAATGTTTTAACAAGAAGCTGCTGTCTGTGATTTCAAAAGGGTGAAAAGGCACTAAACAACCTCAGAGGTCATACAGTCCACCCATCCCCCTCCTTTTACCAGATTCACATAAACCAGGCATTCAGAAACAAAGCAGCTACTCACTCACCTGACACATTTGCATCTTGACTTCCATCGATGTCTTTCCGACCCAACTCACATGTCCAATGAACTTAATATCATTTTCTGGACTTATGACCTTCTTACATAAGTCTGAAAAAATACACAGAGAAACTTGACTGAATAGGTCCCAGACCCCTTTTCCCTACTCTGAAGTTGGATTGCTAGATGGAATGTTTAGGGAATAAGGTGAGGAAGGAAGTAAAGCCGTTAAATTTAGATCTAATAGTGCTTAACAAATACTTGTTACAAAGTGAATTGAATAGAGGCTACATAGCTGTCCTCCTATCTGGCTTATCCTTGGAGGAGAAAGAAGCCTGGGCAAGGTCTCCAAAAAAAGTACGTTACAAACTCAGTATAGGAACTGGGAAGGATAAGTCTTTTTCCTAGCAACAAGGCTTCCCTACTGCTTTCCCCTTACACTCTCTAGAGCAGGAATTCTTAACCTTTTTTTCATGGGACCCCTTGATGAAATTCCTTTAAGGACCCCTTCTCAAACTGATGTCTTTAGATGCACAAAATAAAATACATGGGATTATGAAACCAAAGATTAGTAAAAAGAAAGATATCACTTTTTTCCCTATCTAATTCATGGATTTCCCTGAAATCTACCCCAGTTTAAGAATCCCTACTCTATTGGGCAGAAAAATGCAGAGGCACATGTGTTTAAAAGAACCCACTTCTACTTCTCCTAGTTCATACTTGGTTTCAATTTAAGTTAATTGCCCTCATTTATGTGAGAGGCCTATGTCTTCAAGAGCTCTAAATATTTTATAGGGAATATTATACACCAGTGAGAGGCAGCATTTGACTCAGTATAATAATATATTATTATGTTATGACATGGATAAGAGCCATCCAAGATGAGAAGGCTTGGAAGGGTTTTACAATCTGGCCCAGTTAAGTTCCTATGAAATCACTGATCCATCATAGTATGAAAAGAATCTATGACAACTCATAGAATGCCTTAAGGTTTACAGAATGCTTTCATCCTAACAGCCCTAGGAGGGGGATAGTGCAAGAATTATTACAGATGAGGAATTAAGAGAAATGATGTGACTTGCCCAAAGTCATGCAGCTAATAAGTGTCAGAGCCATGATTTGAATCTGGGCTGCCTGATTCCAAGTCCAGAGTTCTTTCCACTACACCAAGCTGTCTAAGGAAAATCTTTTTTTAAAAAAACAAAGAATAATATGGATAATAGCTAGCATTTATATCATGCCTTAAAGTTTGCGAAGTGCTTTACAAATATTATCTCATTTTACCCTCCCAACAACCCTGAAAGATAGATACTCTTATTATCCCCATTTTACTGATAAAGAAACTGAGGCACAGGTTAAGTGACTTGCCCAGGGTCACATTATCTAGTAAGTGTCTAGAAGGATTTAAATGCAGGTCTTCCTGAATCCAGGACCAGCACTTAATCCACCGTGCCACCGTGCCACCTGCTATGTACAAATGGAGTGAATTACCTCGTTAGATAGTAAGCCTGCCTTCACTGAGTATGTGCAAGCACAAACTGGGTGGTTTGGTGTTTGGTATTTAGTGTTATCTTCATTTACCAAGCATCATGGACACTATAGCAGGGATTCCTGTATGGAGCAAGAGATTGAACTAGACAACCTCTAAAGTCTTCCAAACCGAAGACTGCTTTTTTATGCTCAGGTTTCTCATAAAAAGTTTCTTTTTAAAAAGCATACATCTCTTAGGAGAGTTTCTATATAACTCAGGTAACTAACTGATGAAGAAGACAACTAGAGAAGCTTTGCTTTGCTATTGCTCTCTTCACCTGATCTCATCTTGGTACCAGATCTAGGCCAAGGGCTCTGGAAAGACAGACTGAGGCACTAACTTCTAGAAAACTGACACAATGAAATTTTAAGTCAATTCCAAATAGCCAGACATGAAGAGCTAATCGTATCTTGAAAATGATCTATTAATAAGTTAGGAAGAAACTGAAATATAATAGAATTCCATATGAAAGGAAATTATTTTTGCTGAAATCAAGCAACATCTATTGAATATTTCAATAATACTGAAATTGAATTCAATTGAAGCACAGACTGATGACATCACTTACCAATTTTGTCAACCAAGGCTGTCACGATAGAGAAAGGTGACATCTTGCCAGAATCTATTTTGGTGTGAGTATAGCAAATAAGAACTAAGGAGAAATGAGAGAGTTTGTCAGTGATAGGAAGAGCACAAGTATTTCTCAATATTCAGCTCTCTTACTCACAACATATAAACACTAGATAACATCTTGTGAAGTTCTGGGCCCTCATCTCCCACTACTTTATGGAAGGTGCTCATCTCATCTTAGAATCATAGGCTGTTTTGACTGAAAGAGAAGGTTGGTTCAACTATCTTGTTTCACCGGTAAGGAAAGAAAGGCTGGGAGAGTGGAAGGGCCTTGTCCACAGTCACATATATAGGTAGCGGCAAAATCCTTGAACCATGGATTCATGGTTTCCAGTCCAATCTTCTTTCCAACCTATTATGTTGCTGTTATTTTATAAAGTTTTGAAAATTAAAGGAGCTGATATTTTCAAAGTGAGACATCTCTTTTGCTCCTTGTTCTCAGGTACTGGCCCATGAAGTAACTCCCTGATCCAGATCTGTCTCTTGTTCTCTAAGACACAAATCCTTACGCCTATCTTCCCCAGCTTAAGCCCTCTCACCCTGTCTGCAATAATACTGTATCCCACTCACCTGGGCAACCCCCTACCCATAGCCTGAATCTTCTGATTCTCATCTTCCTTTTAAGCAGGAACTGATCTTCCACTTTCTAAAAATCAAACAAAAAACCCTGACTTTTAACCAACTACTTTCTTTCCTGCCATTCACAACTGAGGCCAGTAAATACACTTATCTATGCATGTTATCTATGATTATTATCTCCAAATCTTTCATTGGTCCCCTCTGACCTGGTTTCCAATTTTGTCTGTTGAATATAGGATGCCAACAGTACCACTGTATGTCCTTTGAGGGCAGAGCCAAACATCATGCACTTAAATAAATACCAGATACAAACATTTGGGAAGGAACATACGTGGGATATGACCAAGAACCTCCAAGGCCCATTAAACCTGACAGTGACAACTCACTTCTGGTTATTTGTCTAAGAATGAACAAGACTCTTGGAAGGAATCTAGAAAACTGCTCTAGCATTATGATATTCTAGAAAAGAAAATCAGGACCTCTGGAACTGAGGTAATATTTCCAACAATGCCGACAAAAGAACATAAAGACTTTAGAAGAGAAAGGAAGACGTAGCAAGGATACACAGTGAACTCAACTATCAACTCAGATTTTTTAAAGACATACAAAAATTCACATGAGGGCACAACTGAGGATGAATACAAAAACATTCTCTTAGAATGCCAAGAACAACAACAACAACAAAAAGAATGTCAGGAACATCAAAGTACAAAATGGGCTGAAGCTTTTGAGAAAAGACCAAGGTAAAAGAAAAATACAGAGGACACTACCAGTCAGTAAGTCAGGTTCACAACCTGAGCTTCATCTTTGACTCTCTTCTCTCTCCCTCATCTCCTACATCCAATTAGCTGCCAAGATTTACCACTTCTACTTCTATAACATCTCTTTCCTCTGTCCTCTCCTCTCTACTCACAGCCACCAACCGTGCTCAGACCCTTATCACCTCTCACCTAGATTATCCCAATAGTCTCTTACTAGATCTTCCTGTTTCCAATCCTATCTCCAATCTACCTCCCACATAGTTGCCAAAGTAATCTTCCCAAAATATAAGTCTAACCATTTTATTCCTCTAGTCAAATATCTTCAGTGATTCCCTATTACCTGTAGGATAAAACACAAGCTACTCAGGCTGACATTGAAAGCCCCCTACCATGTGGCTCTGAGTGAACTTTCCAGATAGTTCACATCAATCTTCTGCACATGTTCTATGTTCCAGACATAGCCTAGTTGCTGTTCTATCTCCCATTTATGTGCCTTTGCACAGGCTGTTTCCCATATGCGGAATATAGTTTGTCAAATTGTATCAGAGGAAAAGAACTAGCCTCTTATAATTCTCAGCTTCCTGTAAGGCTCAGATCAGTGACTATCAGAGTGATTCCAATTCCGACTATTAGCATTTTCTCCTTTCTCACCTAATTTTATATATGTATATATTACATACATATGTGTGTGTGTATACACACATACGCATATATGTATGTGCATGTATACATGTATATATGTGTGTATACATATGTATATGTATGTGCATAGACACATAGAAACAGACATGTGTATTGATGTTTTGATATATATATAGTCTATGTAGAGACATATCTGTGTATCTATAACTACACATAATTATAGATATATGTGTACATGTTTTACGCCCTAGCAGAATATAAGTAAGCACCTTGCAGTTACACACTGTTTTTCATTTTTGTTACTGTGTCCTCAGTTTCTAACACAATGATCAATAAGTCAGTCAGTCAACTATGTGCCAGGGATTGTGCTAAATTCTAGGTCCTTGCTCTCCAGAGGTTCACAATTTAATGATAAACACTACATGCAAAGAACTATGTACAAACAAGATATATACAGGATAAATTGGGGAGTCTCAGAAGGAAAGCACTAAAATTAAAATTAATTAAGATTAAGGTTAATAAATGTTTGCATAATTAAGTCAAATTAAAGAAAAGCTCAGATCACTATTGGGAATGAATCAGATAATAGCAGAAAACTAAGGGAAGACAGAACTACTCGATTTTGTTTTACTTTTGTTTTTTCTACCAAAAAGAACGACCTTCAGTTGAAAAACCACAGAACAAAAATTGCCAACAGGGAAATGATAAAGTGAGAAAATGGGAAGAGAATTACCTTCAATAAAGTTCTTAGTCCCAGACAAATTGCATCAAAGTTAAAGAACTTGCTAATAAGACAGGTGGATCACTGTCAGTAAAATCTAAAAAATTATGAAAAATGGGAGAGGCACCACAGGATTGGTGAGAGGCACTAATGAGAATAATTTGGTAGATGTCAAACTGGTTGAAGCATGAGACTCAGAAGTGACTAATGGATTAACATCATTCTAGATGAAGGGCTCTAGTGCAGCAACAAATGGCTTTGTTTGGCATTGTTCATACAATTTAGGACTTGAAGGGAGTAGAGTATCTTCCAATGGAAGTTTCAAGACCACTTGTGAGAGATATCGTTAGGTATGGGTTGGATCACGTAACTTCTAAGGTGCCTCTCAACTCTGATTCATGACTTTATGAAAAATGACCTCAAAATTTGCATCTTTTTCAACTTTTCTTCAGTGTTTCATGTGAATAATGTACATGCTTTGATTTTATAGTGCTGTCCAATGTTAGCTCTTCTAATACCTCTCTTTGTTCTTTTAGCATTTCATTCTTAGTTCATTCGGCAAACATTTATCAAGCACCTCCTCTACGAAAAATATTAAACAGAGCTGCTTAGTTCCCATCCAACCCTTCAGTCTGTATATAATCACAACTGCTGATGAACCACTTGCTAGACTCTGTTAATATTCTATTTTCACCTTAACAAACTGGTTGATTGATTCAACTGCCAATCTCCTCCTAAGTTTTTACCAACATCTGGTGGTACTAGAATGTACATGTGTTTAAATCAGCCTTGGCAACAAAAGGGTAGACATAAGTACAAAGTATTACTTTGTAAGGCTCAAATACTGTTTTTGCATGCTAAGACAAACATGCTAAGACTAACAAAGACAAGCAGATTTTAATTCAAGAAATGTTTGGTTTAAAAACAGAAGCGTCAATACAGGAAAAATCTACTAATTTGCAGAAAGCTGATAAAGCTTCATTAGCCCAGCATGTTCATCTTACAGACATTTTTCCGAGGCACAACAAACAGCATTTTTAAAATAAAATATATAAAACACAAATTACTGATTTCAAAGAATTCAATTAACTTAAATAAAACTGCCAAGATACTAAAATCTAGACCTTTGATAAAAGTCGGATATATCAGGACTGTAATGCCAATGAAGAAAGACTAAAAAGAAACTGGCTTGTCTGGTTTAAGGAAAGGAAGCCTGGGTTACATCAAAAATGGTTTTCAAATTCTCAAGGGTGTCCCTCCAAATCTTAATGCAGTTTTAAGCCTTAATAGCTTCAAATAATAATTTAATTTTATGATAATTATTACTACTACTAATAATAACAACAGCAACTTTTGGAACATCCCATATATTAGGACTAGACCCTAAGCTTCTTGAAACTAAGGATTGTATCTTATTTACTCTATTCCTCTCTCAGGACTTAGCACAATACTGTACACAGACTTAATAAATATTTGAGGCATTTAAGGGTCAACAGCGGAAGTCTAAATTAGGGAATAATATTTAAGAACAAACTTTTCAATACAGTGGGTGGTCAACTCATCAATGGTCTCCTTGCCTTGAGTCTCTCCTCACCCTGTATAGTCACATACATAGGGTGGATCATATGAAGGAAGGGAAAATGGATTACATAACTTCTGATGGTTCCTTTAACCACAGAGTTCCCTGATTCTAGCCAAACAGTGATAATTACAATTGTACACAAATGCTGGCATGCTTTAGTACCTCCTAAGCTGTCAAGATCCTCAAGAATTCTGCCAAATCTGTGAAATAAAGGAAAGTAGGATTTAACAAGTGGAAACCACAGTGCATTCATTTCCTTTTAAAATTTAAACCATAGATGAAAACCAACCCTGTTACCTTACACAATTGTATACGGTCAAATATTTCTCCCGTAACATAGGCTGAGTTCCTAAAGGCAAAATGACTTCAGTATAACTGTCTTTCATCCTCCTTGGAGGTAACTCCTTCTGGCTCTTAGGCAATAGAGCATGAAGTAACTTTCTCTCCTCCATAACTTTCACATGGTCACTGGGAAGAAAGAAGCAAGATGCCCATTACATAGAATCAGGACTATTGTCAACCCACCCTTGCAAACCAGGTTCCCCATTGTCCTTTGTACTAAGGTGCCCTGTTTCTTATGCCCCCTCCTTTCCCAGTCTTCCCTCCTCCACCAGTCCCCCACCACCCCACCCTATGAGGAAAAAAAATAGAGCCGCTCTAGGAAAAGATCCTAAGACAATTAGTTAAAAGCACTTTAAAGTTAATACTTTACCTTAAAGTATGCTAAAATATCTTTAAAGTACTTTAAAAAATAAAAGGAAATAAGAGAAAGAGTTTCATACAAATGGGATGACTAAATAGCTACTCTAGCCATGAATAATATCTGACACATATAGAGCACTTTAAGGTTTACAAAGTGCTTTACTCACAATTTCTCGCCTCTCACCCATAAAGAAAGAAATGAAAGGATTATTATTCCCATTTTACAGGTCAGAAAACAGGCTCAGAAAGGTTGAGTGACTTGCCCTGTGGTCATGTATCTAGTATGTATAGATCACCATCATAACAATAATAATAACAGCAGCTAGCATTTACATAGCACTTTATGGTCTGCAAAGTGCTTTACGTGTTAATTAATTTGATCCTCACAACAACCCTATAGGGCAGATGGTATTAGCTCCACTTTATAGATAGGGAAACTCAGAGCATTTTCTCATGTTAGCCTCAAAATGAGGAAGGGCAAGTACGATGATATTCATTTTACAGGTAAGAAAACAAATCAATGAGAGGGCAAGGTCACAAAAAGAGATCACCTGGAATGTGAATTAACAAGTGAAGACGGTTAATTATCAATGACTAAGTGTGTGCATGTAAGGAGTCAGTTTCCCCGGGAAGAACACAGCATTTACATAGCACTTTAAGATTTATACAGAATCATAACAACTGAACCTGGAAGGAACCTCAGAAATCTGGCTCAACCCCTTCATTTGACAAGTGAGCTGACTGCAGGTCTAAAGAATTTTTCCAGGGTCACACAGGTAGTAAGAGGTCAGGTCCTCCAGTGTTCTTTCCACTCTTCCACAGTTTACAGTCTTGCCACAACCTTGTCATATAAGTGGTAGCAGTACCTTTTTTAGTCCTGATCTGATGTCACACACATAGGGAACTCCTGGTATGGAAACTCTCTCCACTAATTCGTATCACTAACTCATAATCTTGTCTGGGGCACTGAGAGTCAAAGACACTTGATAGCTTGTCACATGCTTGTTTGTGTCAGAGACAGAACTTAAATATGGGCCTTCCTGACTCCAATGTCAGCCCTCCAGCCAGTAGGCCATGCTAACTCTTTGATAATGTTACAGGGATTATCATTCTCACTTTACATGACTGTCAATGGTCACCTTCTGGTTGGCCTCCCTGCCTCAAGTCTCTCCGCACTCCAGGCCATCCTCCATTCTGCTACCAAAAGCCTTCCCCAACCCTCTTAATTTCAAGACCTTCCCTCCATTAATTATCTATTTATCTTGAATATAGCTTGCTTTGTAAATATTTGTTTGCATCTCATCTCTCCCGTTAGATTATAAACTCCTTAAGGACAGGAACTGTTCTTTGCTGTTCTTTGCTTTTCTTTGTTAACCCCAGGGCTTTAGGTACATGTTGTCATTCAGTCATGTCCGACTCTTCATGACCCCATGGACCACAGCACATCTACGCTCGTCCATGAAGTTTTCTTGGCAAAGATACTGGAGTAGTTTACCATTTCCTTCTTCAGTAGACTAAGGCAAACAGAGTGAACAAGTGACTTGCCCACAGTCACATAGCTATTAAGTGTCTTCAGGCCAGTTTTGAACTCAGGTCTTCCTAACTCCAGGCCCAGGGCTCTATCCACTGAGCTGCCCAGATGCCTCAATAGAGATGCTTAATAAACATTTATTGATTAATTAGTTGATTGCTATTACTCCCCTCCTACTCAATAAATTCCAGTGATTTGCTTTCATATCTAAGATCAAATATAAAATATTGCATTGGGGATTTAAGACCTTTTACAACATAGTCCCTTCCTACATTTCCAGTCTTTTTACACTTTACTCCCCTCTATGATCCAGTGACATGGCCTTCTTGCTGTTCCTCAAACACAACACTCCATTTCCTGTCTTTTCACTGCCTGTCCCCTATGACTGGAATGCTCACCTTCTTCACCTCCACCTCTGTGTTTCTCTGGCTACCTTCAAGAATTGGCTCAAAGTCTTTGTTCTGCAGAAAGCCCTTCCCTTCCTAGCACCTGCCCTCAGAGATTACCTCTCCTTTAACACAATACATAACTTACACATACGTGGCTATTTGCATGTTATGTCCCCCCCATCAGAATATGAGCTCCCTGAGCTACGTTTTGCCTTTCTTTGTAATTCCAGTGCTCAGCACCAGGCCTGGCACATTGTAAATACTTAAATGAATGGCTGATGACTGACCACCACAGTAAGAATATGTCAGAGATGAGATTCCAATGTAGGCCTCTCCTGACTCTCAGCACAGCACACTTTCCACAGCACTGCATGCTGCCTCTGCTGAACCCACTATCTCTTCCTAGAACAAAAAAGCCATGAACACCCTCCTTCTCTTCTTCGTACAAGGTTCATTGATGCTACCAGGAACCCAACCAACCAAGGCCTCAGTAATCACGAACATACCTCCAGCGTTTGGATATTCCTACTATCTCCCGAAGTTTATGCCGAACTGAAAGAAATAAAGATCAGCTGGTGAAACTTACAAAAGTAAATTAGGAAAATATGAAAGGATTAAGCCATTAAGCTCAAGCTCCACGCAAAAAGAGTCATGCACTTAGCAGATGGTAAAGACAGAGATCCAAATTAATAAGAACCAAGATTAATTTTAAGGCTACCATTTAAAGTCAAACAATAGGTCTAGAATCTTCAAAACCCCCCAAGAACTGAAATACCCAAAAGAATGTGTGTGTTAATCATTAGGCTTTATATAAACAAATATAATACAGCAGGATAGGGAAGGGAAATAAGCATTTATGCAGCACCTACTATATGCTAAGCACTTTACAAATATTATTTCATTTGATCTTTACAACACTCTTGCAAGTCAGGTGCTATTATTAACCCCATTTTATAGATGAGAAAACTTAGGAGAAAGGTTAAGTGATTTGTTCAAGGTCATATAGCTGAGAAGAGTCTGAGGCCAGATCTGAATCTAGGTCTTCCTGACTCCAGTGTTCTATCTACTGCATTAATAATAATGATGATGATGATAATAGCTAACATTTATATTGGGCCTAGCAGGCACTGTCCTAAGCACTTTACAAACATTGTCTCATTTGATCCTCATAACAACCCTGGAAGGTACGTGTTTTTTAATCCCCATTTTATAGACAGGAAAACTGAAGCAAACAAACATGAAGTGACTTACCGGAGATCACACATCTAATAAGTGTCTAGGACCAGATTTTAACTCAGGTGTTCCTGACTCCAGGTCCAGTGCTCTATCTACTGCACAATCTAGCTACCTCTAATTATAATACAATTATAATAGTTCAATTTAGACTATTCATCTAATATACCTTTGTATGATGGGAACCCTTACAATAGGACACTATGGACAGAACTAACACCTATTGCAAAGGCAAAATTATAGCAAAGATAAAACTATCTATTTTCCAACTTTCAAGGTCACCTCAGGGCCCCTCTGTGGCATAAACGTCACCCTGGATTCTTGAAGCCTGTCATACTTGTTCTAGCAGGTCCTGCCAACCTAGAAAGACTTCAAATGCATTCCCAGCAGCAGTTTAATTCTCTTTTTTTTTTTAATTTAAGTTCCAGCCCAGCTAAGTTCAGAGAAGCCTCATTACCAGGGTTTCTAAAGGTTAATGGATTCTTCAGTCCCATCAGTTCATGAAGGCTATCCATGAAGCTACTGAATGGCTGTAATTTGTGTTGGTGAAGGTAGTACATATGCCAGGGAAATCATGGATCCTTGAAGGATTGGATTAAAAGTTCTGTTTTAGAGAATATTATTTGATCCACAAAAATATCCCAATCTGTATAATAACAAGCTGATTTGCAACAAGGCTGAACAAGCTTAAGCAAGAAAGCCAAAAAATTCAAGCAAGGCAAGGCAATTTTTTAAAATTATTTTATTTCAGTATCCCCCACCACCACCTCCATCACAAAAAGCAAGAGAATATTAATGCTAAAAACTGAAAGTGAAAAAAAAAACATTCACACAGATTATCACATACCATCAGTCATAGCAATAGGTGGGCCTGCTATAAGAATGGAGGAAAAGTATGTTAGATAATCAAATTACACAATTCCAAATAATGGGTTGATTTGTCATTTAACTTTCTAATGGTATTTCACACTCTATATGTCAGTACTGTGAACTAGAATGAAAGTAAAATCCTTGCTCCCTCAGTTTAATTTGGTTGAAGACATTTGTACCTGGATTAACATGAATTTTCACTTTTGGTACAAAACATAGGTGATTATTCTACCCAAAGACTTCATGGACATTTCAGGGGGTACCACCAATTAACGTCATAAGGATTTCAAATTATAATAATATCAAAAAATTACTCTAATTAATCCAAGTAACTAAGAGAAACACGTGAAAAGACAAAGACCCAGAAAAGTAAGCTACAATTAAATAACAACTATAATATGAGCATGAAATAATAATAATGATGACAATAACAAGCATTCATATTGTACTTTACAGCTTACCAAACATTTCTTCCCAAAAGTACAAGGTGATTATCTCAATGGATAGATTATTAAAGTGAGCCACATAGAAATTAAGGAAGTTGCCTCAGAACATAAATGACATAGTCAGAGCTTGAACCAAGGTCCAAGGCTCTTTCCACATTGCACCACTGCACATCTTAATCTATTATATCACAGGCCCACAAGCAAGGAAGCAAAGTGCCAACAAATGTTCACTACTAAGATGTTACTGAGTGAACAAAGTTGGTTTAAAAAATATTGAGATCTATGTGTGTAAGTTGTGTATACACACACATACACATATATTTATAGTTGTTCAGCCATCTCAGTCATGTCATACTCTTTGTGACTCCATCTGGGGTTTTCTTGGCAAAGATTTGCTATTTCCTTCTCCAGCTCATTTTATAGATGAGGAAACTGAGACAAACAGGGTTAAGTGACTAGCCCAGGGTCACACATCTAGTAAGTGTCTGAGGCCAGATTTGAACTCAGGAAGATGAGTCTTCTCAAATCCAGCACCACCTAGCTACCCACATACATGCATACATATAATATAACACATAAATACATATATATAAACACACAGAGATAATATACTTTAATTTCAATATATGAGGTGTCCCAAAAAGTCTCAGCACAGTTTTAAGTTTTGTTTTGTTCCTTTTAAATAGCTTAAATGGCTTTATAACAGCTTTCCTTTAATACCTTAAAATTGCACTAAGACTTTTGGGGCATCTTTTATGTATTTATTTACATCTTAGTTGAGACAGCTGAAAGACCAGCCTGTTAGCCACAAGTCTGTATCTTTTTTCCAAGGCTTCCCCTTCAGTTCCCACACATCTAACAAGAGAACACGGAAGGTGGACGTCACTCAAGTAAAGTGCTCCAAAGAGCCTGAATGATAGCATTCCTCACAACCCAAATGAAGCTTTCCCTCAGGGCAACTACAGCTCTCTGCAGGTCAAGCCACTAGTGGTTTATGCTTGGCACACAATAGGCAGTTAATAAATTCTTACTGACCAAAAATGTCTTTAACACACTCACACAAATGTTTGATAAGCCAAGTGATGTACAACAGAATTCTAACTCAGATAATTGAGGCATATCAGAGGTAGAAGTGACATTTTAGGCACATCATCACCAAAGGTCCATCCAGCACCACTCACCTCCTTCCATATTGAGGGTTCCCTTGGTTCTATTATTAAATGTCTCTTGGCCAGGTGACCTGCCAAGAATTGGCCATCCCTTGTTTAATGCACGAAATCTGCAGGTGAAAATAAACTGAATTCAGAATTAAGCTTAAAATGCAGGGAAGCCCTTTCTCCACTACTAAACAAGAATCTTTTCTTTCTATCCCAGTATTCTTCTGGCATCACACTAATTAGATACCATCTTGTATTGTTCTATTGTTGTCTCACCTCCCCGGCTAGACCATAAGTTCCCAAAGTCTGAACTCTCAATATTTTGTATGTCATAAAGCCTTTTGACAATTTGGTGAAACCTGTGGACCCCTTCTCAGGATGATGTTTCTAAATGTGCAAAATAAAATCCATAGTATTACAAGTTGTTCAGTTGTTTTTCAGTCATGTCTGATTTTCTGTGACCCTATTTGGGGTTTTCTTGGCAAAGATACTAGAGTGGTTTGCCATTTTCTTCTCCAGCTCATTTATAGATGAGGAACTGAGGCAAACAGGGTTAAATGACTTGTCCAGGGTCACACAACTAGGAAGTGTCTGAGACCAGATTTGAACTCAGGAAGATGTATTTTCCTGGCTTCAGACCAGACATTTATTATCCACTTAGCCACCTAGCTGCCCCAAAGGATTACAAAAGAAACCAATTACATTGAAATACAATTATCAAAACATTTTTTTAAAGAGCTAGTTCACAAACCTCAGGTTAGGAACCCTTCTTCCTAAACAGAACAGAAGCTATATCTTCCACAATTAGCTCTACTAGGTTTGTTGAATGAATGATAATTGTGACCTATCATATAAATGTTTGTATATTTGGTCTTGCCCTCTCCAGTTTCTCAGTTCCATGAGTACTAAATCTATCTGGTAGAGTTTAGATCACATTAGATGAGATGGTCTTAGTAGATAAGCTAATTTTTCTTCATTATTGGACCACATCTTCCCAGTATTTAAGCCACTCCCTCAAAAGGCATATCTGATGCTGAGTAAAGTGAGCAGAACCAGGAGAACATTGTACACAGTAACAGCCACATTGGGTGAAGATCAACTTTAACAGACTTAGCTCTTATCAGCAATACAATGATCTAGTACAATTCCAAAAGACTCACAATGGAAAATGCTATCCACATCTACAGAAAAAACTATGGAGTCTAAATGCAAATCGAAGCATATTATTTTCTTTTGGTTGTTTTTTTCTCTTTCTCATGGTTTTTTCCTTTTGTTCTGATTCTTCTTTCACAATATAACTAATGTGGAAGTATGTTTAATATGACTGTACATGTATAGCCTATATCAGATTGCATGCTGTCTGGGGTGGGGATGGGATTTTGGAACTCAAAATCCTATAAAAGTGAACATTGAAAACTAAATTTTTAAAAAAGGAAAACAAAGAAAGGCACATCTGAAAGCATTAAGTCAAAGATCATGGATTGAGAAGTCTGGAAGGTAAGGAGGGATGCAGAATCCCAGTGACGTTGGTTAAGTGACTTACCTAGGGTCATATACCTGTAGCATAGCAGAACTGGGATTTGAAGCCAGATTTTCTGACTTCAAATCCACTGCAGGAGGGGGAGGGGTGTTTCCTACTACACCACCTCTTTCAAGTCAAAAGAATGAAGTGAAAGAATAATTTATTAAATGGTGTCATAGTTGCCCCCAAAAAATGCAACACAGCTTCAGAAAGATTCCTAGCATTCTCAATAAATAATTAACTTTTAGACTAAGTAAACTGTTACTTGCTATTATAAAGATCTGTGATCTTTACCAACAAGTGTACCATATCACCACCAATATATGTCATACAATCCCACTATGTCTTAGCAGATAGGCTGCAGGAATTAATTTAATCAAAGAAATTCACCACCTGGTTTTGTCCTCTGGTGAAAAACCTCTCTGAATTTGGCTGGCTTGGTCTATGGCTAAGAGAGGTAAAATGTCACAGCCTTTCCAGCTTGGTATAAGCTCCTTAATGCTCAGGTAGTATAGGACTACCTGGATGACCTTGAGAGAGAAAAAAAAATCACACACCATCCCTGGGCCTCACTTTTCTCATGTAAAATACTGGGGTTGTTCTCCTTCTGGCTCTAAATCCTATGAAAATCCAGGATCCTCTCTACAATAATGAGTCATCAGAGTAGCATGTTAGGGAAGATACTATCTACTAACAACAGTTAAGAAAAGATATTATATTACTTTCCACAATATGTTATTACCATAGTATGGGGGAAAAGAGATAGATTATATCAGAGACATGGGGTTCAAGTATTGGCTCTGACATTAACTAGTTATGTGACTTTGAGTAAATCACTTGGCCTCAATTTCCTCTTCTGTAAAACAAGGGGATTAGACAACTTCCAAAGACTTTTCCTATCCCTAAAAATCTATTGTCATGTCTTTAGTACAGACAAATCAGATACTATAGCAGACACTGGAATAGGCATCTTGGTACAACATAAAGAATGGTTAATTTAGAGTAAGGCTATAGGTTCTAATCCAAAACTGGATTATTTAACAGCCATCTAAACATTGACATATCATTTAAACTATCTGAGCTTGTTTTCTGATTTTGTAAAATGGGGATAAAAATAACACTTCATGGTTCTTGTGAGGAAAAATGCTTTTCAAGCCTAAAATACTATATACGTGTGTATATTTCTGTAATAAAACAACTTTTGCCTGAATTATTCAGAAAATTCAGGAAATACACACCACAGAATCCCTCTGGTTATAAATCTAGAGCTGGAAGGGATCTCAGAGGCCAGCTTAACTAACCTCCTTACTTTTACAGATGAGGGAACTAAGGCCCAGGAAGGTTGAGTGATTTGCCTAAAACAGGGATTAAGTGTCAGAGGCAGCATTTGAATCCAGGTTAATTTATTCCAGAACCAGAGATCTTTCCACTGCACTACACTGCCTCACCAGTTCAGCCTCCAAAAATTCTAAAGAAAATTGGTATGGAGTCAATGGGGTGGTAATTCAAACTATGTGATACCTTTAAAAAGATCTGCATAAACTAAATATCTTATTTAAATGCAGTCTTTCAGTGGTAAACAGAGTATTCAATCATCCTGTCACCTTAAGTTGACTTTTTATTGTAACCTACAGAATGTTAGTCAACAAGCATTTATTAAGTGCTTACTGTGCACCAGGCATTCCATCTAATGAAACTGAGGATACAAAGAAAGGGGGGGGAAACAGTCCTTGCTCTGGTCAAGAGGAACTTAATTCTAAGGGTAAGAAAACTAAAGTAACTATGTACATACAAGATATATACAAAGCAGATGTAAAGTAATCTGAAAGAAGGAGGAAGGCCATTAGCAGCTGGGGAGACATGGAAAGGTCCTTTGCAAAAGGTGGAATTTGAGTCGTCTTGAAAGAAGACAGAAGAACAAGTGAGAGGACATAGCTTTCCAGGCATACAGGATAACCTAGGCATGGAGATAGACGGGAGAGGGAGTGTCTAGGCCAGTGTAACTAGATCATCCAGAGTGTGGAAGGAAACAAAGTTTAAGAAAACTAGATAGGTAGGAAGCTTTCTCCGTCTCCTCAAAGTATCACAGAGTTGAAAGGCATCTTACAGCTCATCTAGTCCAATGCTTTCATTCATAAATGAGGAAACTGAGACCCAGAAAAGGAAAGTAAATTGCCCAAATCAGAGGTACTGAGCTAAAGTGAGAGTACAGAGGTAGTGAGTGACTACTGTTTGTTGTTTGTTCTTCATTCCCGAAGAGTACCAAGGCATCAGGAAGGTGATGCCATGACTTGCAAGTGTACTGGATGTGAGGGAGGACTGTGCAAAGTCACCAACCTCATTTTCTCCTCCTGAGCCATCAGGGCCCAGTGGCAAAACATAGACCAGGAGCACTGGAGATGACGACAACCCACCCCCGCCCCAGTGAATGGACCAGGTCTTTAATCTTTTCACAGAGTTGTGTCTCAGGAGGCAAAACTCTCTTTCAACTATTCAGTCACACACACTTCCGTGTATACACAAAGCCACAGTTGTCAAATATTAGTCATCAGAGTCACTTCTCCAAAAAAGTGTTCCAATTACGATAAGCTGTTTGCTCTTGGCACGTTAGGGCCATTCACTCACTAGATTACAGTACCAAGAATGAGGCTGAGCCCAAATTAGCCTGACACCTGGCAGAGGCCCCTCCTTTGGACAACATATACCCAAATCCTCACTTTTTGAGAAAGGTTCGCAACAGAGTTTCCAATCACACCCTGTGCCCAAGGATAAAACCATTCCAGGAAATGCCCTCCTCCCTCCCTTCAAAGCGCTGCCCGGTTTTGAGCATCAAATTCCCAAGCCTCCAGCCACAGTTTTCTTAGTGGAAGCAGAAACTAGCAACAAGGCCACACCCGGGGCAGGAGGCCAGCGGCTCCCCCCCGCGCCCTGCAGCACGAGGACCGGCGAGGGCGCAGCGCGAACATCCCCGGCCTCGGTTCCCGGCCCGGCGTCTCTGCTCCCCCAACCCCGGCCCGGGAAAGGAGCTGCGAGACTACAGGAAGCCGGTCCGACCTCAGCTGTCTGTCAATCCGGCCCGGCTAAATAACAGCAGCAGACAGCGGCTCCCAGGCGGCCTCGGCAGGCGCCCCCACCAACGATAACCCCCCCCCAGGAAAGGGGCTACTTAGAGGGGCACACGGGGAGCACTGGCAAAGAGAGGGTGGGACTAGGGGAGGAGGGAGAGAAGAGGAGGGGGATGAGGAAGAGGCTGGGGGTGAGGAAGGGGGGGTGAGGAAGAGGATGGGGGTGAGGAAGAGGATGGGGGAGAAGATGGGGGATTTGGGGAGAGAATGGGAGAGAGAAACAATAGTGGGGGGGGAGAAGTTGGGAAGGAGAAGAGGGGGTAAGACTAGGGAGAAGGGGGGGAATTAGGAGGAAAGAGGAGGGACCTGGAGGGGAGGGGAGGAAGGGAGGAGGTAGAGAGCGGAGGAGGGAGCTGGAGCCCCACCCGGACCCCCCCACCCTCACCTGGAGCAGCTCCGGGAGCCCCATACCAGCCCACTCCTCGGCGCTCCGGGGGACGCCTTACCGCATAGCTGCCCGCCACATCGTGCCGCCGGTCCGCCGCCTCCCAACTGCTGCAGCCAGAGAAACGCGACTACGTGGAGCCGCCGGCCCAGCCCTCTCAAACTTCCCGACGCCAAACTTGGGCCCCCTAAGGGCGGCGGATCACGGAGGCCCTGGAGAGGGGTGGAGGCAGGGGCGGGCGGGCCTGGTGAGGGACCTAGGGAGGCGGGGCCTCGGCGCGGGGGGCGGGGAAAGACACCTAGGAGGCGGGGCATCGGCGCGGAGGAAGCCGCTTAGGAGGCGGGGCATCGGCGCGGAGGGCGGGGGGGAAGCACTTAAGAGGCGGGGCATCGGCGCGGGGGGCGGGGGAAGGCTGCAGCCGCGGCTCTTGCGCCTGACCCCTTGCCATCTGCCCTGGCTTGTGAGATGCCGACCGTGCTTTCGTAGACCTGTCTACTGAGGCACGGGGTTCTTAACCTCGGCTCCGTAAACTTGTTCCTTGAATACTTTGATAACTCCTTCAGTATAATCAATTTCCTTTGTAATCCAGTGCGTTTCACTTTGTACATTTAAAAACTGTAGTCTTGGGAAGGGGTCCAGCCCTTAGGCTGGAGCCCCAGCAAAGATTAAGAAGCCTTGCGATACAGGATGCATTGTTGTGGTCATAGTGATCTTTACTTTATCTTTACTTCTTTGCAGTTCGTCAACAAGCAGTTATTATGTTACTACGGGTCAGGTAGCGTGTGAAACTCTGGGGAAACGTGGAAGGGCAACGACTAAGTACAAACAATGTATACGGGATGTTAGAGATAACCAACAGTAGGTTTTGGGGTTTGGGGGTTTTTTTGCACATTGATTCATCTGCAGCTATTCCCCTCCCAACACCAGCACTACCAATGCAAAGCCTGAATCCATCCTGGAGAGAATTAAGGTACCATCCTTTCCTTCCCCAAACTGCCTTTCCACAATCCAGCTGCCAGACACACAGAAGAAAGTATCCATTAGTTATTATGATATCTGATTATATTCAGTTCATCACTTTATTGTTCTTTATAATTCTTTAATGTGTGTCCTTGCCCTTCCAAAAAAAATGGTAAGCACCTAGAGGGCAAGGATCTGATTATATGCTTCCCACCTCCACCACCACCACCACCATCCCCAGTGGAGGGCTAGTTAAGTGGTTAAGATACAGCACAAATGATGTTGATTGAATTAACCCCTCATTATTTGGATTATACGAGGAAGTGGAGTCTTTGCCTTCCTTTTTCACCACCACCAGTCCAAATCCTACCCCATCTTTTAAAGCCAAATTAAATTTAGCTGAGATTACCTTCCATTTACACTATCTATATCTATATATATCTTGTATGTATGTATTTGCTCATTATCTCCCCAATTGCAATATAAGCCCCTAGGATAGGAACCCTGTTTTTGTCTTTCTTTGTACCCCATTGAAAGCAAGTCCTAGCACATAGTAAACATTTAATAAATGTTTAAGAAATGCTTGTTAGCTGACTGGCTAAAATCTTCCTAGACTACCTACTGCTACCTAGAGATGTCTGCAAAGCTCACTTGTTTGATGGTTAACTGAGTATCACTTGTTGACACTTACATTTGTATCCTTGTATCTCCCATGGGCACCTAACACAGTGCCTTGCCCTCAAGAACCACTCAAATGTCTGATGATTGATTTTGGTTTTCCTTGTCGCTTAAATTTTTTATTGAACCTAGGGAGGTTCTGGGGAGAATGCATCTGGAAAGGAAAAGGATGTGTAATGTAGTGTAATTCATGTAATGAATAAGCCTTGGGCCTGGAGTCAGAAGTCCAGCTTAGACATAATCTCTACTGGCACAAACAATAATAATAATTACTAATATTAACATAGTACTTTGAAGTTTGCAAAGGATTTGACACGTCTCAATGGAGTGTCACCACAAGCAGGTATTATCCCCATATTATAAATGAGTAAACTAAGTCTCGAGCCACTAAATAATAGCTTATCAGTACCAGATATCCCTGTTTCCAAATGCAGCCACTGAGCCTCAGTGTCCTTATCTGTAACATGGGAATAATACTTGTACCATTTACCTCAGCATGTTATTGTAAAGATAGCACTTTGTAAGTAGAGTTCTACTTAAATTTGAGTTGTCATTAACTGCATGATAACAACGGATTGAAACAGTTCCCAATTTTCCTCAGTCAAGTAAATGATGAATTTATAGTCAGATATATTTGGGTGGAATATGCTAACATATTAGCAGAGTATATAATTGGATATTAATACCAATTAAAATGATTTTTGGTAAACATAGTTGGTGGAGAGTTGATTTTACATTCTTCCATGGTGGAGTTGGGATCTTCCCAGAATTCATCAATCCAAACAGAATATAGCATCAGGTGAGAAAAATGCAGTTTTGGTTTACCTTAAGAAAGAATTGGCAAAGTATTTTACTGGATAGCAATCCTTCTGCAGAATACACTTAGAAAGAGTCATCTTAGCCATTCCACAAATGGGCTGCCTAAGGGATATTCTTTGTTCTCAGGATAAAGAGAGTATTTTTCTATTCATTAACTAGTTAACTGGACTAAGGGTATTGTGTATTTAATCAGAAAGTTCTAAAAAGCTTCTTGCATCTTGTACAAACTTTCTTTAAATCTAGACTATTCAGATGGGACTCACTACCTGTTAATGTCAACTTTGGGTTATCTGATTATGCAGATCAAGATTCATGCCTCTCTTTTAACTTCAATGTGGTATAATAAAAGAACACTAGATTTGGAGTCAGAAGACCCAAATTCAAGCCCTATTTTTGCTATTGTCAGATGAATAATCAGCACAACCTTGTATAATAACCAATTAAAGTTTCCTGGTTAATTATTCAGCCAGTGACATTGGTAGAAAAAGGGAGGTGAGTGATTTCCTCCCCTAATCAGATATACCCAGTGCTTAGTACAGTGCTTGGCACATAATAAGCATTTAATAAATGTTTATTGACTGACTACCAAACAATTGGTATATATCTATACCTGCTGTATATATATATATAGATGTATATATATCTATATCTATCTATCTATATATATATCTATATCTATCTATCTATCTATATATATATATATATATATATATATATATATCTGCCAGTGCATTCATCATATGCTTTAACCCTGAAGCTAAGTCAGTTATTTATTAATTGCATGCTATGTACCAGGCACTTTGCTAATCGAGAAAAGCAACGAAACTTGAATAGCTCAAAAAGTTCAGACATACCTTATATTTCCCTCCATCTTGTTGGGAACACATTAGTAGTTATATCTACCAGGGTTAATTCATGATGAATAGCCATGACCAAATTCTCCAGAAATTTACCAGAGCAAGGAAAGTTATTTTATGGTAGGTTTGGACTTGAGGGTCCAGACCTTCAAGTTGACATATTCCTCCATGGTCTACTGCCCTTTTTCAAATTGATAATTTGCTCATTAGCAATCTCAGCCCCAAAGTGAGCATCAGAAACCTGCTTGAGTTTCCAAAAGAAGCTACATTGTCCAACAGAGGGCTACTTTCACTGAAGCAGGGAGAACCCCAGCTGTAAGTCTGAAATAGCACCTTGGTCAAGTGGGAAATCTCTGAAGCTGGAAATCCAGCAACAACTGGAATTGGTCCAGGAACTCTGGGAAATCCTGTACCTAATTGGCAAAAGAATATGGCAGAGTTCCAGGTACTGCCTGGGGCCAAGGCTCTAATGCCTAAGCCAAGAGTTTGCTTCCCTGAGAGGTCTTAGATGACTCTCACTGTAGCTCGATGGTCTTTGAAGCCCCCTCCTGGAAGACTTGCCAAATAGCAACTGGCAACTGACCCAGGCCACCTCCCATCTTGTCCGCTTTAGAAAATCAGTAATACTGTTAAATATCACTGGGGAAAAGCCAAAAGATGTTGGAGACAGGTGTCCACCAAGGTAAAGGAAGGGGATTCCCTACTGGGGAGTCTAAGGATGAGGTCTCATATAAGAAATGTGCAAGCATAAACCCAACTGGGTTGGTGCTAAGATAGCTCTCCAGAGTCCCCAAATGTAGGAGGCTAGGATGAGTGGGAAAACTGATTATAGGAGCAAAACTTCAGTCCAGGAAGTCAATACCAGATTAAGAAGCAAGATACAGGAAGTTCTAGGATTGTTTGCCTGGCTCAATCTGTCTCCTCAAAGTTTCCATCACTTTATGGTGTCTTCTTATCCTTCATACTTTAATGAAGTAATTCACTCAGCTGTACCCATCTGCCTGTGGACATAGCCCTACAAGCACATCAGAAACACTAAAGCTTAAAAATGAACTGAGATCACCAATGCACAAAAACAGCGTACCATTAAGCCCAAGTCTAAGGGGCAGTCCCTACCTGGTAGCCTTTGTCATTGCTTTCTACCAGTAGGTTCACATCTCCCAGCTTACCTTGGGTGTGTGCTGTAGACAAATTAAGTCCTAGCCCTGGTACCCAGTTTATGCCTTAAACAATAGGACTAGAAGGAGTCTCCAGCTGGGTCAGGTCAAACAAGCCTGGTTCTTTGAATACTCCCAGGAAAAGATCATGATAGCAGCAAGCAGGGAGCAATGTATCAATCAATTTAATAAGGCGCAGAGAATACAGAGGCAGATTTGGTGAATTTCATGGGGAGAGAGATGGGAGAGAGAGGCAGACAATGAGGAAAAGAGATAGAGGAGGGAGAAGGGTACGTGAGTCACTTTCATAATTGCTGATTGGAATTGGGAGCATTCAGGCAGTATGGAACCTGAGCAGTTGAAGAAGTATTCAAGGGACAATGTTTTAAGGTCCCATTCTTTTAGGGTTCAGAGTGGTTATCATGTTGGGGGTTGGCTTATTAGCATAATGATATCATCTCACAGTTATTAAGGCTAAGGGATCAGGGATCCCTTATTAGCATAATGTTTTTCTGTTTTTACTGCATATATCTGGAGCTTATCTGCAGTTTGCAGGCAAAGGGACATTTACTAGCATCTAGCTGGCTTTTTTCAATTTAGCAGGTAGTCTCTGGATGTGGCCTTCATTAATTTAGGAGACAGTTTTGGCAAGTTCCTTTATTTGTTCCCCTTTATACTCTTAGCTCCTATTTCCTATTTATTATTCCTTTACACTGGCTAACTTATATACCTACTTACTATATACTGACTGGTACAGTATTTGGCAGGACCATAACAAGACATAAT